TACCCGTCCCTTAGCCTACATTACAACCTTAAAGTCCTAATTGATCCTAGATTTGGCTAGCTTAAATTAGTAGAGATATACACTACGGGCAAGCTTATGGTACGACCACGGGATACATATGAATTCCTTGTGAGAGTGAGCGAATTTTGTTCAATTGTGTGATGTCCATAATCTATATTAAAAAGCATATTTGAATGTGTGGACTATTCTATATTCACTCTTTTGTTTGTTGGTGAGGGCACATGATCTCATGAACGATTGGTAACGTTGTAAACTTTCTTGTTGGGTGAGTACGTGGATTGAGGTTGCTTAGTGGTTGCAAGTCGGCGTTTGAGGTTGAGTGGTGACAAATAGGTTGTTGGAATTGATTGAATTGAAATATTATACTTGGGCATGCTTAAACGGGAAGAATGTGAAATTTTGTGTGTTCATGCTTGTGTGCCGGTATTTATCACAGTCAAGGATATAGTGTGTGGTTAAAAGTTAAGGTGCTCCTCTATAATTGAGACTTTGTACGTGGTGGAGGGTAGTAGATTGTCCCATTGCTCGAGGACGAGCAAGAGTCTAAGTGTGGGATGTTGATGATAGGCTATAATTACGTATTTTAGTCGCTTATTACACTCTAATTTACTGCACTTTAGTGGAGTTCGCGCTTTAATCGCTAGTGTTTTGCACTAACGGTGTGTTTTATGCCTTGTAGGAGTGCTTCCGAGCTATATAGATGTTATGGAATGAATTCAAGTGATTTGGAGCTTTGAAGTCTGAGTAAAAGCCCAAGGGATTAAGCCGGGATCGTGTCAGGGGTCAACTTTGATAGTTAAGAACAAACGAAGAATCGAGTAGGCATATTGCGCACTGTCTAGTAAAATGGATATAACGTTTTGCTCAAAACTCCATTTGGGCTCCATAAAATATGGTTGGAAAGCTAACTCAAAGGGCTACAACTTTCATGTTTTACGTTTTTCTAAATTCTAAGCGGAAAAGGATGCAAATTGCACGTCAATAGCGGGGTCGCGCTCAGGCCGCGCTCGTCAGGCAGAACACTGGGCCACTAAGCGGCCGCGCTAGTCAAACCCGGGAAAAGTGTTCTTTTTCACATTGGAGAAGGTATAATTGTTTGGGCTCAACCCTACTTGGTAGATATACATGGAAAAATGGTATTTTGAGGGAGAGGGACATACTTTTGACAGAGAGCCGCCGTGGAGGCCGGAATTCATCGGGTTTCATCTTTTCTTCCACCAAACTTAGTAATTTTTATGTTTGTTTGTATGATTTGTTGTTTGGCTACCATGTCTATGTGGAGCTAAACTCCACGTTCTAGGGTTGTGGTTCTTTCATGACTATTGTTATTCGGATATTGATTTTGATTTCTTAGTTTATTATATTGGTTTATTTATTCAATCCTGCACTTAATTATTTGATTGCTTGATCACCAATTGAATACTATCTACGAATCTAGAGTTGAACTCGAAAGTGGGAATTCTAGATTGCATATAGGATTGAGTAGAGCAAGTTCTTGAACCTGGGCATCGGGGAACGGATTCGCAATTAGGATAGACATATACCTAATTGTCTTGCTTGGTTGAAATACAGGAATTATAAATGCGTTCTTGTTGATTCTAATTCCATAGACATATAGGCGTTAGGTTAGCTTGAATAGGCCAGTAAGAACTCGACAGATTCTTATGGGCAATATTAACCCTGTCAACCAATAAACTCGATAAATTAGTTAGTCAATTCAATTGAAGAATACAATAGGAATGTTAGATAGCCCATAACCCTAGATCGTTTTCATTATATTGATATCATAAAAATCTGCTCTTCCTCTGTTTAAAGTTCATTATTTATATTTCTTTACTTAATTAGTTTAGAATCAAATACTTCTAGGTTTAATTCTTGTTTAGATAATTAGGATAGTCTAATTTAGTTAATAGTTAATCACAAGTCCTCGTGGGATCGACATCTGACTTTTAGTCACTTTATTACTTGACGACCGCGTATACTTGCGTGTGCGTTTGACCGCAATAGAGGGTGAGGAGAGAGGAAGAAGAAAAGAGAATAGAGAATAAATGGGGGCATTTTCGGCCTTTTTAGGCTTTAAATAGCACAAGTAAAGATTAAATTAGGGTCGTTGGATCAAAGGGATATGGATGGATGAGATTTAATCTCTGATTCTTTAGCTAAAACGACGTAGTTTTGCCCTGAAACTACGCCGTTTTGCTTGCCTCCTTGGCCAGCCTTATCCGGACCGGGTCAGTGCAATTGGGCCACTGATTTGGTCCGAAATTTTAACCCATTTCAGTTTAAAATGAAATTAGCCCAAGCTCTTGTTCCTTTATTAATTAAATCATAATAAAAACTCTTAAAACCTACACACCCACAAATAAGAACACACACACACATACACACACACACACACACACACACACACATATATATATATATATATATATATATATATATATATGTGTATATATATATATATATAAATAAAATGTAGAAGAAAAAGATAGGGCAAAAATTATGCATTTACACCAACTACACACCTTATCTAATTAATAGTACAATTGTTAACCCCCTAAATGCTGAGGTGGCATAGAGAACTCTCTTTGAGAGAGTGAAGCAAAGAAAGTCGGAAAAAAATTATTTTTTGTAATCTTCTGTTATAATTAAAAAAAATCACTCTCTTTGTTATTCTTTTCTTCTTTTACGACGAAGACCATGAATGTCGATGACCTTCTCCGGCGAACTATTTTCCTTTCTTTTATTTTTTTGTTTTTCCTCTCACTCTCACCACCACCTTGATAACGTAACCACCACCTTCTCCTTTCCCCGCCTCATTTTTATTCTTCACCCGTTTAATCTTCAACTCGCCACCATCATCATTACCCAAATTCAGATCTTATCTCTCCAGCTTCCCACTGGAACGTAGACTTCACTGGAATAACAAAATTAAAACCGAAACTCACAATCAGTAACAATAAATTCCCCCGCCGATAAAAATGGAGTTCCTGAAATTTCAATATGAAACAAGCAACAAACCTAATACATAGAGTCTAATCAAACAAGGACTGGACCAAAGAACGAATCTTCATGAACGGTTGAAAAATTTAAATGTAAAGAAAGAATGAAAAAAGAAAAAGTGTAATAGGATAAAGAAAGAAAAAAAGGAAAAGAAAGAGAAAAAAGTTCAAAAATTACGAAATAGACATGTGGCGGTATGTATATTTCACTGCTTCCCAAGAATTAGGGTGATATTTATTCTATTTTGAAAAAGTTCAGGGGGATGGGTGATCTGACCCCTGTAAAGATAAGGTGTGTAGTTCGAACTTCGGCCTTAGTTCAAGGGGTACTTATGCATTTTCTCTTTAATAATTTTGAGAGACATAGAAATTAGAAATTAAGACATATAATAAGTGAAGATCAATTTTGGATATACAAATGATATTCACTCTCACGATGTTCTCTACTAATAAATATGCAATATTATGGCTTATTATTTTGAGTTACTCTCAATTTCATATTTATATAGATGAATAGAACTTTAATTATTCATTTGTTAAGAATTTTGAGGGGCGCTAATTAGGGTTTGACGCATGATTCGCATTAGGAACTATTAGGCGAGCCCCGAGCAGTAAGCACTAGGCGTGTTTCGAGCGCACAATCAGACTCTTGGGGCGTAAGCCTCGCAAACCTAAACCCCCACATGTGAGCCTCAGGGTGTTTTGATAGTGCCCCATCCAAGGCGAGTCCCGAAAAAGCCTTTTAAAACACTGTTCAACACCCAAATCTACCTCAAATAAGCTTAAATTTAATTAATAAGATCCAAATATCATAAAGAACAAATCACAATCATCAATTTGTCAAAACAACAACAAATAAAACTCATTTTACAACAATTGTAATATCAACAAATGATATTTCAAGAAAACCTGAGACAACTGTATGTCGCTTGTGGTCAGTCAACTTTGTTTCAATTTCATAAAAGTCACTCAACTTCCGTTTATAACTTAAAAGTCATTCAACTTTGGCCATATCACTTAAAAGCCACATATGATGGAATATGAATATATCATCACCGGAAAAATGACATGGCAAACTTTTGATTATTTTTTATGCCACGTGAGCAACCACATAGGGTAACATGCTACATCAGCATCCATTTAGGATTTTATATATAAATTTGCTCAATGTTGTATCTTTCATTAAGAGTAGTATATGTCCATACACTTTATTTTAACAACGTATTGGACTATTTAATACATGTTGTGCCTGTTCTTGCTTGGATGTGAAAAGTCGTAACCATAATTTTTTTCCTTTAAACGTACTATATAGTTGTACATGAATTACAGCCTGTTTGGCCAAGTTTCTACAATCAGTATATTAACCATAAATGATTTTCTCAAAAGTACTTTAAGCAGTTTGTGTTTGGCTAATTAATTTGAAAAACACTTTTGAACAGCAATTAATATTTGGCCAAGCTTTTAAAAAGTGCTTTTATGTGTATTTTTTCCTCAAAAGCGCTATTCAAAAAAATACATTTAGGGGAGAAGCTACTTTTCTACGCTTCTGCTTCTCCTTAAAAGTAATTTTTTCTTCCAAAATCTTGGTCAAACACTTAAACGTTGAAAACAAAAATACTTCTAAGTTTAGAAAAGCTTGGCCAAACAAGCTATTAATCACATGGATTACAAATGCAAGTCATAAGAAAGTTCTTTTAAATTGTCATTCTAGCAATAATTTAATAAGGATACCCACAAATACAGACAACCTAAGCCGACAGTTTATACAAAACACAAGTATATCACATGGTATCCTATGTGCTCACGTGGCATAAAAAATAACTAAAAGTTTGCCATGTCATTTTTCTGGTGATGATCATATCCGTATGTCGTCAGGTGTGACTTTTAAGTTATAAACGAAAGTTGAATGACTTTTATAAAATTGAAACAAAGTTGAGTGACCACGGGCGAAATTAACCCCATGGAAGTGCACACAAATATAGAATCATACTTGAAATATCAAAAATACAATAGTTTACACGACTACTTCTTAATACATTCTCCCCGAACACTTACGAGAACCACATCTACAATTTTTTCTCTTCAGATCGCCATTTGCATCATAAACATGATCAATCTGGTAGTTGTAGTGATAAGTAAGCTCCTCTAATGGAGCAATACTTTTGGAAGCGAAAAACATTATGTGAGGTACTCTCCTATCACCATGGTCATACATGACATTTTGAGCGTAAAGGTTCGGCGAGCAGCTATGGTTGATAAATCTTCCAACATTCCCATATCTTGCTGCATCAAGGGTAAAGCCATCTTCATCCTTCCTCTGAGAACAATTTGACTCTACTTCGAACTTATTATTATTCCTTTCGGGGATTTCTTCATCATAGTTGCCAATATCAAACAAGTGCTCATCATGATCTATTCTTTTTTCGGCTTCCTTTTCATCAAGCAACTCTCCAACATATTCACATATAAAACTTCCAGATGATACATAATCCCGTGACCTCAAACCCCATCCTCTGGATTCGGTCTTGAAAACCTCCAAATGGTGCCGAGGACCACATTGGCTAACTCTGTTTTTGCAAGAAGGGGGGCATTTGCAACACGGACCACACTCGTAAACAAGTGGCTTTGCTCTAATAATAGCCCCTCTTGAGTTAAATGGAATCTCACCTCCATTCTTAGAAGCACAAGAGCATTGCTCAGAATCCGAGCATCCACTTGTGCAACTGCAACCTTGAGGCATAGAAATATAATACCAATCTGGATATTGCATTTTGGTAATGTAAGTGAATGGTGGGGGTCTCTCATCATCTATTGCATTGACAGCAGGGATCGGTATCTTCTCCTTTCCTTGCGAGATATCATAGTCCACAACAAACTTCTGCTCCGTAACTGATTTCGTGTCCTTGTTAACGTATGGATGAAAGTGATTTACCTTGGCTAAATTTGCTGGCTGTGACACTAGCTCACGAGTAAGTTTAGGCTGGCCAAAATTTCTTTTCAGTTCAAACTTGAAAACAAATTTTCCAGTTGGACCTCTTTCTTGCCAATACTTGGTCACAGTGTACAGCCCATCATAAATGTATCTTATATCACTCTTTTCATCTTTCACTCTTTGTCGACTACGAATAACCCTTACCGGATATCCCGAGTCCATGGAATTCTTCAAGGCAAGATTACCCCCTTCAAGCTTTTGATCTTCCACTCTCGTAGCAGAAATTTTTGGATTCCCACCTTGACCTACGTAAATGAATGTTTGAGAAGATATGGCCTCGTTGGCGTACCGACCAGAATCCACAATACTAATTGCAACATCTTTTCTATTAATATTCACATAATCGATACCACTAATAAATTGGCGATGTAGTCCGACCATAACAAGTTCTGCCCTAAACCGGAATTGATCTCCAATTTCAACTCCAGGAACATGTCCAAAAGTCCACCCATAATTTACCCACTTTTTCTGATTCTTCAAACTCATTGCTGCTTCTATATGAATACTTCTTTTAGACTGTCCTTCACATTTCTTTGCTTTAACTTCTCGCAAAAGTTTAGTGTACAGGTCATCAAAAAGTTTCAGAGCCTCTCTAACTTCATTCGCTTTAGAAAAATCTTCATATTCAGTTAACAATCCTTGACCAAAAACATCACACAAGGAAGTAAAATTCCTTAAATCTTTTTGAGAAACTCTCGGAACTATTTGCTTCTTCATGACCACAAAGTCATTTTGATCCCAATCTTTGGAGACAAAATCCTCACCTTTGTATAATTTGTTGTGTTGCTCAAAACGCACGGTCTTAGGCGATGGCTCAAAATTAACTGCATCTTCAAAATTAATCATGCACTTGCCTAGCGCTTCTAGACACTTAAATTTTTCTGTGTGCACGATCTCACACTTGTCGTCCTTCTTACAAGTACTTCGAGACTTGAGACTTGATTTTAAAGAGCTCCACTCGAAGCGGGATAAAATGCAAATTTCATCATCATCTACGCTAGTCTTGGATTCATCACCAAATACTTTTTCGTGATGAATTCTCTTGCTTGTTTCATTACTAGGTTCATTTTGACCTTCAATTTCTTTCATCTTCAAAGGTTGATTTCCAATAGTAGGTGGGAGTTGCTCACATAAGGTTCTCAAATTACTTGAATCACCAACCTCTTTTAGAGGTGCACCAGTTTCAACCAAATCATCCTTTTTAGGATTCCCAGGAGTTAATGGCATATCCATTTGCACATCTTTTGGTTGGATTGCTGGGGTACCACTCAAATTATTTGGCACAAAAACTCCTAAAGGCTTGCCCGACTTAGACATTTCCAAAGCAACACTAGAACTACTTTTGATCTCAACTTCAGCAGAGCATTGAGTATCGATTCCATCCATTTGAGTAATGCACGGGCTACAATTCTGAGGAAAATTTCGCGTAGCACCAACTTTTACACGCTTAGTAGTGGATGGAAACTTTGGGACGATCTCAGCATCACCATAGCATTGAATACCGCTTCCATTCGTTTGAGAAATAAATGGACCACAATTTTCGGGAAAATTCCGGGTAGTATCAACTTTTAGGCGCTTAAACGCAGACGGACATCTTCGATATTCATCGTAGACGCTTTGATGCAATCTCTTCCCACACATCATTGAAGGACTTGTTTCCGTTAACACAGACATCTACACGATGATAAAGCAAAAATTACAAGAAATCGAAGAATATGCTTATATACATCTAACAAGACAAGGCATTATTAAGGTTGATCAACAATAGTAGGTATCGATTGGACAGTAGGAGTGATTTGATCAAGGGCTTGATTAGAAGAAAGTGAGTGATGGATTTGTGTCATAGCTTATGAGATGAGAATTGTACAAAACTATATAAAGAGATCCATTTTTTAATTTTCATGGATATGGGATCCTACACCTCTCGCACAGCTAGGACTAAATATTTAAAGCGTGGACAAAATAACATGGAGGCCCAACATCGAGTAAACAAAGAAATTTGTGGATGAACTTGGGCTCTGATAGCATGTTAAAAAATAAACCTTTAGGCCTAACTAAAGGCGATGAGAATGTTCGAAGACCATATAAGGAAATCCATGTTTAAAATATGTGGGATCTAAATTTTTTCTTAAATACAAAACAAACCAAGTATATATCGGTATCTTGAAATTGAAAACCGAACCAAAACAAATCAAACTAAAGATTTGTCGGTCGTAACGATTTTTGATTTGATTTGACTTTTTTGGTTTTTGTTGAAGACCCCTAGATTTGCGTAGAAACTATTGGACAGGTCCTAGGAGTAGGGCGATGAATGCACATCGAGAAAAGTGCCTCCTCCGTGTGCTTCAAGGCGTTCTTCAAGCACCTTACCCTGAATGAGGACTCAGACGAAATCCAACGAAAGCTGTTTAAACAAGTGATAAACTAACTTATAATGTTTCGACCAAACAAGTCATCTACCGTAAAAACAGATGAAATGAGTTGAAGCCAAATAGAAAGAAAAGCACTACATTACACAAATACAGACTAGGATCATACATAAAAAGTTATGCCTATATATACGCATATCGTTATAATTAATCGAACTGCCTAATGTACCGTACAGATAGAGAAAATTGTGTCAGGTAACTAAAGGAAACATCAAGAAAAGCAATAACATACCTGAAGTAAGATTTCAAGTGTTGGCTTCAAAAGATCCAAATACTTTTAAAACCTAAAACCCTTGTACAAAAATTATTTGCTGCAAGAAGAAGACGAATAAGGGTATGCAGTATGCCGATACCAAGCTGCTATTTATACATGTAAAAAAAACCTAGGCGTTCGATTCCTGTTCAAATTGGGTCTCTTAGGTTTACACCGAAGTCATATACAAAATTGCCATAATTACAATCCTAATTTAGGTAAAACTCTGAAGTCGGCGGAGTTCTTTCCACTTTCCTTTTGTTCTTGTTCTCTTTTATTTTCCCTTTTGAATTCGAATTGCCAAAATCCTTTCCTATGAAAATAACTTCATCTCCAAGCATTACAAGTGCAATATGGGTACCATAAATATTTTGTATTTTCCCCTTCTCTCCAATTTATATATGGAATATGTACAACTCAGACAATTTAATTTGAAGAGTAATGACTGAAAGAGGTTACGTAACACATAATTATGATTAAGTGATTAAAGTTCATATACGAAACATAGTCATTAATTGCACATACTAAATGTGAATAAATTTTATCCATAGGTTCAATGCATAGATTACCTCTAAATTTGTACCCAAATTCCCTTTACACACCTTTGACCATGAGAATTATTTTTCACACCAAACCATTTCAACAGTCTGTCTAAATATAGCCCAGCTCACATAACTTTTCAACAGTTATCATTTTCCTTCTTTTATATGATGTGACTAGATAGTGAAAATAAATTTCAAAATATATATAAAGTGGGTTAAATCGGGTAAGAATTATAAATATGGCCAATTTTAACAGAGACAATGTGTGGGATGTATTTTCACATAATCCTGTCTTTTTATATTGGTAAAAGTAAATTTATTTTCTTGTCTCGTTGGTATTTGAATTGATTTAGCTAAAGCTCGTTGATGGTGTAACCTTTTTTTTCAATCATAGATGGCATAACATTAAGGCGAAATACATAAACAGCCCCTTTAAATTGTCCTCAACGATCATTCAAACACTTTAACTGAGCCTATTTCCAGTTAGACACTTCAAGTCTTTAATGAAGTAGGTCAACTAAACACCAAAGACCAACAAACCTCATGCGTGAGTTACAATTGCGGATGACGTATCAAATGGACAAATCATTAAATGACACGTGTATTTTTCTAAAAAAAAATATGTATTAACTTTCCCTACCCAAAGAACTGTTGGGGTTTTATGTATTTAATATATTAAATACTTAAAAGAGGGTGAATGAAAAATGGAGGGAAATGAAATTTTTGAGTGAAATTTTAAGTCTCCCCCTTGGTAAAGGGACATTGTCCCATATTGGAAGAGGAGAGGTTTTTTATGGGTATATAAGCAATTGCTCTTCTTCTAGCTCTTAAAGAGTTGAGAAGAAGGCAAGCCTCGCGCCGTCGTCGTCGTCGTCGTCGCTCGCTCGGCTTCGGCTTCGGATTTGGTCAAATGATTGATCGATTAATTTTTTGGACCAAATTTATTTGTTAATAGTAAAATATTAACAGAAATATTATTAAATATTTATTTTAATAACAAAATATTAAGATTATATCCTCCAATCCGTTTTTCTGTTTTGGTCGGCTTTGGCTTCGGCTTCGGCTTCGGCTTCGGCTTCGGATTCAGATTCGGATTTGGATTTGGATTTGGATTTGGTCAAATGATCGATTGATTGATTAATTGTTTGGACCAAATTTATTTGTTAATAGTAAAATATTAACAGAAATGTTATTAAATATTTGTTTTAATAACAGAATATTAATATTAAAATAAATATTAATATTAAATCTTCCAATCTGTTTTTCTGTTTTGGTAACAGAAAATTAACTACCCTCTTCAATTTTCCCTCTTTATTGTTGAGTAAATAGCCATTTATGTTGTGGTCGTTTTGCATAAACAGCCATTCTGAAGAGTTGCACCTCTTTAGATTTCAGCCCAACTTTGGCTATAAATACAACACTATTCTGCTCAAAATTTCAATACAATTTTCTGAGTTTCTCATCCTTCTTCTGCATGCTTTTAGCATCAAACAAAGCAACAGTAAGTGTGATTTGCTACCGAACTTTGTGTTCGCTGAAAACACTGGGGTTTGAAGTACCACTACACCAGTGTGTAATTCGTTCTATCCTGGGAGGAAATAATCTATAACCTTGGGTACTAGGAGGGGATTAAATTCCTTAAGGAAACAGTGTGAATTCAGTGGGCTCGAATTGGTTTTCTATTATTTCGTTGTTCATTTCTGTTTATGCTCATTTCTGTTTATGTTCATTTATATTTCTAGAATTATTTTACAAATACAGTATACTAACAAGCTTAAGGAATTTAATATATTTTCTGTATTTGTACTCACTATTTCTAGAGAGTAAAGCCTTTGTAGTTTTGTACTCTATTAAAATCTACGTGATTTTAACGTTTGTGTCATTCTTTTACAGAAATGACTAATGATAATGTGAACCAAGCTGTTCCAATGATGACTGCCAATGCCTCAACGAGTCTAACAACACCGGCATCATTGGCACCGGAGGAGAAACCCGAAAAATTTTCCGGGATTGATTTCAAGCGATGGCAGCAAAAGATGTTCTTCTATTTGACTACTCTATGTCTCCAGAAGTTCATCAAGGAAGGTGTTCCTGTGCTGTCCGATGAAACTCGAGAAACTGAACGCTTTCTCATAATTGAGGCGTGGAAGCATTCAGATTTTTTGTGCAAGAATTATATTCTGAGCGAGCTGGAGGATGCTTTGTATAACGTCTACAGTGGCGTGGAAACATCAAAAGAATTGTGGACTGCGCTTGAAAAGAAATACAAAACCGAAGATGCCGGGTTGAAGAAGTTCATTGCTGCAAAGTTTTTGGACTACAAAATGGTAGATAGCAAGTCTGTTATTACCCAAGTCCAGGAACTGCAAGTGATTATTCACGATCTCCTTGCTGAAGGTATAAATCAAATTAATACTGATGTTGAAAGTAGTAATCTTAGTATTTTTACTAACAGAAATTTCATTGAAGGTCTTGTCATCAATGAAGCATTCCAAGTAGCAGCGATGATTGAGAAGTTGCCTCTTTTGTGGAAGGACTTTAAAAACTACTTGAAACACAAACGCAGGGAGATGTCCCTTGAAGATCTCATTGTTCGATTGAGAATCAAAGAGGACAACAAAACTGCTGAAAAGAGAGGCCGTGGAAACTCAACAATAATGGGAGCAAATATTGTTGAAGAGAACAAAAAGAGGAAGAAGGATTCTGGACCAAAATACAACCCAAGCAAGAAGCGATTCAGTGGAAACTGCTACAACTGTGGAAAAATCGGACACAAATCTACGGAGTGTCGTGCTCTGAAGAAAGACAAGAAGAAGGGTCAAGCAAACATGGTTGAAAAGCATGATGATGTTGATGACTTATGTGTCATGCTTTCCGAATGCAACTTGGTGGGCAATCCTAAAGAGTGGTGGATTGATTCTGGAGCCACTCGCCATGTTTGTGCTGTTAAATAAACTTTTGCTACTTATGCTCCTGTTGGACCCGATGAGACGATTTCTATGGGAAATGCTTCAAAGGCCAAGATTGAAGGATTTGGGAAGATATTTCTAAAAGTGACTTCCGGCAAAGTGGTGACTTTGAACAACGTCCTTCATGTTCCCGAGATTAGGAAGAATTTAGTCTCTGCTGGACTTCTTGTTAAGAATGGTTTTAAATGTGTTTTGTTTCCGATAAGGTTGTAATAAGTAAGAACGAAATGTTTGTAGGAAAAGGTTATCTCACTGAGGGCCTTTTCAAGCTGAATGTAATGGTTGTTGAAAATAATAATAAAATTTTAGCTTCGTCTTACTTATTTGAGTCAAATGAATTATGGCATATACGTTTGGGTCATGTCAATTATAAAACCTTGCGGAAAATGATTAATTTGGAAGTATTGCCTAAGTTTGAATGTGAAAAATCAAAATGTCAAGTATGTGTGGAATCTAAGTATGTTAAACATCTTTATAAGTCGGTTGAAAGGAATTCAAATCCTTTAGACTTAATTCACACAGATATTTGTGACATGAAGTCAATACCATCTCGCGGTGGAAAGAAGTATTTCATAACTTTTATTGACGATAGTACTCGATATTGCTATGTTTACTTACTTAACAGTAAAGATGAAGCAATAGACGCATTCAAGCAATACAAAAATGAAGTTGAAACGCAACTTAACAAGAAAATCAAAATGATAAGAAGTGATAGGGGTGGTGAATATGAATCTCCTTTTGAACAAATATGTTTAGAATATGGAATTATTCATCAAACAACGGTCCCTTACACGCCCCAATCCAATGGGATTGCAGAAAGAAAGAACCGTTCATTAAAGGAGATGATGAACGCATTATTGATAAGTTCTGGTTTGCCATAGAACTTGTGGGGGGAAGCCGTTCTTACGGCTAGCCGAATAATAAATCGAGTACCCCATAGCAAAACACAATCCATTCCATATGAAAAATGGAAAGGAAGGAAGCTCAACTTGAATTATTTTAAAGTGTGGGGGTGTTTGGCAAAGTGCAAGTTCCTAAACCCAAAAGGGTAAAAATCGGACCGAAAACCGTTGATTGTGTTTTCATAGGATATGCGACTAATAGTAAAGCATATCGATTTCTGGTTCATAAATCAGAAAATCCCGACATTCATAATAATACGGTTATAGAACCAGATAATGCTGAGTTCTTTGAAAATATATATCCGTATAAAAAGGAATGTGAGTCGATTGGTGAAGGATCTAAACGACCTCGGGGAGAAACAAAAGGAAGTACACTTAACCAGAAGGATCCAAGACGTAGTAAATGTCAAAGAATGTCTACTTCATTTGGACTAGATTTTGTGACTTTCTTATTGGAAAATGAGCCTCAAACATTTAAAGAAGCTATGTCTTCCTCAAAATCATTGTTTTGGAAAGAGGCAGTCAATAGTGAAATAGAATCCATATTGAACAACCATACATGGGAATTGGTTGATCTTCCTCCTGAAAATAAACCGTTGGGTTCTAAATGGATCTTTAAGAGGAAGATGAAAGATGATGGCACTATTGACAAATTTAAGGCAAGACTTGTGGTCAAAGGGTATAGACAACGAGAAGGTCTTGACTATTTCGATACATACTCTCCAGTTACAAGAATTACGTCCATACGAACGTTAGTAGCGTTAGCTGCAGTTTATGGTCTTGAAATTCATCAAATGGATGTTAAGATAGCCTTGTTAAATGGAGAGTTGGAGGAAGAAATCTACATGGAACAACCTGAAGGGTTTGTGGTTCCAGGTAAAGAAAAGAAGGTCTGTAGACTTGTTAAGTCCCTTTACAGATTAAAACAAGCACCCAA